TATATAAGTACCTGAAATAAATAAACAGACTTTTTTTAACCTATGTTTTCTAGCAGTCAGTTTCCATCGTTCAGAAGTGTCCCGTGTACATGGGGCCTAAGCTTTTTCAGGCAAGCTAAGGGAAATTGTTTATGTAGATGACTACATATAAACTAAGGAAACCAAGCAAGCATAAGATACAATTATACAGTATCCATGCATTGTTTTATAAGTGTCTCAATTAAATTAGTATCTTTGAATGCAACTGATATATGGTATTGTGACTCTTGCATTCAATGTAGATATGTAGAACACTGATTGATTTTTTTTTTCTGTAGCTTTGAATGATGCCCCGGCTGATGATTGTGTTCTGCCAGTGGAGGTGTCTCCTCCTGCTCCACTATCTCCTGACCTTGAGAAAGCTGAGCTGAGCCTCATCTTGCCTTTTCTGTTCCTGGGGAATGAGAAGGATGCCCAAGACCTAGCCTGCATGATTACCCTAAATATAGGGCATGTGTTGAACGTCACAACTCATCTGCCTTTGTACCATGCTGACTCTGGAGCCTTGAGGTACAAGAGACTACCAGCCACTGATAACAGCAAGCAGGACCTGCGTCAATACTTTGAAGAAGCCTTTGAATTTATTGGTAAGTGAGATGCACTAAGAAAAAAAATGTGTTGTCAGCAAATTCCCTATCTGACATTAAAGCGGAGTTCCACCCAAAACGGGAAGCTTGGCTTGTTTGCACCGTCCACCCCCACATTTGGCACTTTTTTTGGGGGGGAGCGGGTAACTGCAAACTGAGCTGAAAGTTTGGCCCCCGTCCTTCCTCCCGCAGTCTTCTGGGATGCTTTACAGGTCCCAGAAGAATACGGGACAATCATAAGGCACAGCGCAATGGGGAGTAGGAAAGGCGCCACTTCTGGTTTCCTTTACTTGCAATGCCGATGTCAAAAACCCGGAGGATAGTGAAGAACCCGCCCGGGTGACAACGTTGGGCATCTGGACAGGTAAGTGTCCTTATATTTAAAATCAGCAGGTACAGTATTTGTAGCGGATTACTTTTATTTTTTGGGGGGAGCCTGGAACTCCTCTTTAAGTGATTTATATTTGACATTTAGGGGGTTATTTAGTAATACTGGAGAATACAAAATCTGGCACAGCTCTGCAAAGAAACCAATCAGCTTCCAGGTTTTATTGCCAAAGCTTCATTGAACAAGCTGAAGTTAGAAGGTGATTGGCTACCATGCACAGCTGCACCAGATTCTGAGTTCTCTAGTTTTTAGTAAATCTACCCCTGTTTCTGCTTATTCTTTATATACTATTTAAAGGGATACATGGGGCTGCCATAGCTGACCTCCTCATAAAAATGCTTGTTGACTGGCTGATATAAGTTAAAGTGTTACTAATCCCAGGACCCTGCATTCACTATATCTGATCTCCCACAGTACACACAGCACGGAAATGCAATTATTTTAGTAAATATAAACTGCTAAATACCTTTTCTCATCAGCAATATATAGCAGTCTTGTGAGTTCTATCAGTGGCCAGCTGAGCACTTGTTAATCTTATAGGAGGAGTTTTCATTCTCCTACCACTATCCTATGAGGCTGCAGGACCCCTGTCCCTCTGTCTGGACAGTGCTGATTGGCACTGTGCTAATCACATCCACCCTCACAAAGAAAAAAAAACTCCCTAGCAATACCAACTAAACTGAGCATGTGCAGAGTGACTCCTAGAGCTCTGTACCATCAGCAGATGGATTGGGGACAGTAGAGGAAGGGGAGGGTCAAGGAAGGCAGGATCAAACAGCCTTTTTACACAGTGCAGAGCATCAACCCTTTAGGTTAAACAATTAGTATAACAAGCATGTTTTACTGTATATACAGACTGATTTTACTGTGGTGGGTTTAGTAACACGTGAATGCTCCCTGAGTCACTTGCAGTATCTAAAACAAGTTTGTAGATTAGGAAAGTCAGAGCAAAAGTCGGAAGTCCTTATCTGCATACTTGTTCTGAATTAGTAGCTCATGTTATGGAAGCCTAAGAGCCAGGAAACTAGAATTTCCAGAATAGGAAGTATCAGAAAAGCTTTCCTTTTAAATGCAGCCTTTGCCCAGACAGCCTTTGCTCTTTGAACATACATCTTTGCTTCATCCATCTCAAGCAATCGCTTTATAGTCTTGATGTTTCGGTATTGTAATGAGGTTGCAGTTGATGAAGGGAAGGTTGCAGTTGCAGTGCCTCTAAAGTCCGCAATTGGCCTTTTTCATTTTTCTTTGGTTCATTTGATCAATTATTATGGGACGTGGCACATAGGAGCCTGTTATTTGCCCTTACAGTTTGGCACTCTGTGTTGGGTATCTTTCTCTGTCACTTCTCTTTTGAACAGCCTTTTTGCCTTTTTTAAATTAACTCCAATACATTAGTCTTCTCACCCAGCATTTTTTCTCACCCATTATTTGTTTCTTGCTATAGGACAGGGGTCTCCAAACTTTCTAAACAAAGAGCCAATTTACTGTCCTTTAGACTTTTGTATGGCCGGACTGTGGCCAGTGGGAGTAGAAAAGGTCCTGATGTCAGTGGGAAAAAATAATGCCCTATTGTTTGTGTCAGTAGGAGGAATTGTGCACCATCATTGGTGTTATTGGGAGGAATTGTGCCCCATCATTGGTGTTATTGGGAGGAATTGTGCCCCATCATTGGTGTTATTGGGAGGAATTGTGGCCCATCATTGGCATTATTGAGAGGAATTGTGCTCCATCATTGGTGTTATTGGGAGGAATTGTGCCCATCATTGGTGTTATTGGGAGGAATTGTGCCCCATCACTGGAGTCATTGGAAGGCATAATTCCCCTCCTCCTTCAAGAGGAGGGGAATTATGCCCGATTGTTGGTATCAGTGTATAAAATAGTGCCCCACGGGCCAGATAAAGGCAAGCAAAGGGCCGCATCTGGCCCCCGGGCCATGGTTTGGAGACCATTGCTATAGGAAAACAGATAATTGGAATCCCAGTACCTGACACTTATATAAAAACTTTCTTCCTGTACTTCCCTTTCCACTCCATTGTGAGTGAAAGAATAGATGTATCACAGAAAAGAAGATGCTTAATTTTAAACAGATTTATTTTATTTAGCCAGCACAAGTACAATGCTTAGCAGAATCACTACAGCATACTGTCATAATACTATGGCACATCAGCAATTATTTCATTGTACATAAAGAAATGTATGTGTATTCCAGAGTAATACTAAATATCCTCCAATGATCAGACTTGGGCTGACACGCATCCCCCTGCACAGCCATTGACTGGGAAAACTAGTGTACTGCTGTTTTCCCTCCCCCAGCTCTTTATGCAGCTGGGATCAGAGGGTATGTGATCACTTATATGAAAGGGAAAAAAGGTTTTTATAATGTTTTTATATGTATAAATATATATTTTGCCTTTAAAGTGGTTGTAAAGGCTCAAGGTTTTTTTTTTACGTTCATGCATTCTATGCATGAAGGCAAAAAAATCTTCTGTATGCAGCATCACTCCCAGCTCCCCCCTTATACTCACCTAAGCCCCCTCTTGATTCAGCGATGTGCACTGAAGTTTCAGCTATCCCGAGACTACTTCTTCTCATTGGCTGAGACAGAAGTGAGAGTCATTGGCTCAACTGCTGTCAATTACAGCCAATGAGTCAAAGAGAAGAGAGAGGGGGCAGGGCCGAGTCGCAGCTCCATGTGTGAATGGGCACATGGAGCAGCAGGTGCCTCCATAGCAAGCTGCTGACAGTGGGGGCACCTGACAGGAGGGAGGGGCAAGGAGAGCCTGCGGGGGGACCCGAGAAGAGGAGGATCCAGGCTGCTCTGTGTGCAAAACCACTGCACACAGCAGGTAAGCATAGACATCTTTGTTATTTTTCTTAAAGAAAAATAAGTCTTTAGAATCACTTCTCCTGGATATGCTATTGTATTCTGACAGCAGGGATTGTCAGAAAACACTGATCAGCCCTGTAGCCATCGGCTGCATGCACTGATCAAGTGAAATTTTCCAGTAGTCCCAGTCGAGAGAAGTCTATCATTTTGTCGACTTCTCTGGAGCCGGAACAGCCATAGATGGATCGAACGTCTTCTGGTTCCTGTTGAACCAGAAAATGTTCAATCCATTGATGGCCAGCTTTACACTAAAGCTTTTTATGCTTTTATTTTTTCCTTAAATCGTAAAGTGTTACTAAACTCATGACTGTAAAATCAGTCTGTAAATGCAGTAAAGCATGCATGTTATACTCACTGTGGAACCTAAGGGGTTAATCCTCCACACTGCATAAAAAGGCTGTTTGATCTTGTCTTGTCTGATCCTCCCCTTCTTCTACTGTCACCAATCCATCTGCTGATAGAACAGAGCCTTGGCTGCAAGTTACACATGCTCAGTTTGGTGTGTATTGCTAGAGAGTTTTTTTTTCTTGGGAGAGTGCATGTGATCGGCACAGGGCCAATCAGAGCTCCCTCCAGACAGAGGGTCAGGGGTTATGCAGCCTCATAGAACAATCAGGGGAGAATGAAAACTCCTCCTACAAGCTTTAGCCAGTGCTCTGCTGGACACTGATAGAAGTCACAAAACTGCTCTAACTGCTGATGAGAAAAAGGTATTTAGAAGTTTAAATTTACTTAAATAATTGCATTTCCATGTTCTGTGTACTGTGGGAGACCAGATATAGTGAATGCAGGGTCTGGGGTTTAGTAACATTTTACCTGTAGGCAAACAACCAAATACACCATTAAAATGAATTTATGGATGCTGTTTCATCTGCAAAAGAATTTGTCCGTATGTCTGTCTGTCCAGTCCTAAGGTTTACATATCTGTTGCACATAACTCAGCCAATCTGTTGACCTGAATTTTCATTGCTGCAGGTTAAACAACATAGCTAGCCTATGACTGGCCAGTATAGGAGCAGCGACAGACTAATGAGGTCATCTCTCTGCTCTTTCTTCCTTTCCTGTCAGTATTTTCAGCACATGAAGATATATTCTGTAGATGTTTTTCAATCATCTCTTGTTATCTCTTGTAGAAGAGGCTCAGCAGGAAGGCAAAGGAGTGCTGATCCACTGCCAGGCTGGGGTCTCTCGATCTGCAACTGTGGTCATCGCCTACTTAATGAAGCACACTCTGATGACTGTGGGAGATGCATACAAGTTTGTGAAGGGGAAGCGCCCAATCATATCTCCTAACCTAAATTTTATGGGGCAGCTTTTGGAGTTTGAATCTGATCTGAATGCTGGAATTACCCCAAGAATTCTGGTCCCCAGGCTACGTGGTGTTGAGAGCGATGTGTGATGAACAGAAAAGAAGAAAAGAGAGACTTTTGTATGGAATGGGGGAAAGGATGGAGAGAAAAAAAAAAATGAGCCATGATTAAACAAGAAGCAAAATCTACAAAAAGCAACATATCATTGACAGCCTGCAGCCCAATTAGAAAAGCAGAGTCAGTTCCCAGTGGACGCACAGTCTCTGTGTCTGCAGAAAATCCAGCTTCACACCCCAGCAGTCTATCAGCCCGTTCACAGTAAAATCCTACAGCAGCAGTCTGAAGTCCCAGAGGAGCCTCACAATCTCACATCTCAATTCCCACAGACTTGGTATTATCGGAAGAATATGTGTGCCGACAACATGATCACATAATGTGATTCGGATGCAAATTTATATGTCACAGTTTTCTAATTGCTTTTGCAAAAAATGACACATCCTGCAGTTTTAGGTTTCAGAGATTTCAATGCTTTATAATAATAATTTTTGTTCTTTTTTTTTTTGTTCAGCAAGGAACTTGGGTGACCTGTGAAAAGCGCTGAACATCATTTGTCTAGTTGGCCACAAATGCCCCAGAGGACTGCGATATTACATATCGTGCAAGAGTGGCATTTTGGGCTTTGGCTGTAGTGGAGATTACCTGGATGCCCTCAGATTACTTTAGGTTAACTAAGGTATGTTTCAGTGTTTACTCACTGGCCATAGCCATACTTAACCTAGTTTGGATGTCTGCATTTCCACTCCAGATTACTACTGCCTACTTCTAATCTAGCCAGATCATTTAGTCATTGCCAGGCCACATCTGCCCTTGCACACAGGTAGCGGCTAACGTTCCTGCTCTGTCCTGCGGTAACATGACCTAGATATGTGCAACACATTCGAAAATTAAATGCTGATATGCATACACACTGCTGAATGGAAACTGCTGGTTTCCCTTACTTAAAGCAGAGTTCCACCTGAAAAAAATAAATAAAAGTCAGCAGCTACAAAAACTGTAGCTGCTGACTTTTAAAATACAGCCACTTACTTGTCTCTTGGTCCAGTGGTTTCCTCATCACTGCTGGTTTCACCGGCCGTCTTCTCTCCCTGACGCTGGCATCTTCAGTGTGGGCACCTGGCTGTGACAGCTTGCGGCTTCACAGCTGGGTGCCCACTGCGCATGTGCGAGATGTGCTGCGCTTTGTGAATGGACCTGTAGTTTTCTGGGACCTGTCACGTGTCCCAGAAGACTACAGGGAGGGAGGGGAGGAGGACAACTTCCATTTCCAATCGCCTAGGCGATCGCAGCAGAAGTGGGAGCGGGTACCTGTCAAATTCGGGCACCCGCTTTCCCCCCCCCCCATTCCCCAAAGGTGCCAATCCTTAATGGGGATTGGTCTTCTGAGACCTGTCACCTGTTCCAGAAGACTACAGGGAGGGGGGAGGACAACTTCCGCTTCCGATCGCCTAGGCGACCACAGCGGAAGTGGGAGCGGGTAGCTGTCAAATTCGGGCATCCGCTCCCCCCCCCCCATTCCCCAAAGGTACCAATCCTTAATGGGGAGCAGGGGACAAAGGCTTAAAGTGGAACTTCCCCTTTTGGGTGGAGCTCCACTTTAAGAAGCCAGCACCTGCACCCGAAGCTGATTGAAGAATTGGTTCGGGTGATAATTCACCTTCATGTCCAGCACAGGCAAAATTATGCACTGGAGACATATATGTATATTTTTATACATGTCCAGCAATGAAAACCTGAAAGCTTGTGTGTCTTGTCAACCAGCAATGGGGTAGATTTACTAGAATTGGAGAGTGCAAAATCTGGTGCAGTTGCACATGGTAGCCAATCAGCTTCTAACTTCAGCTTGTTCCAGTAAAGCGGAACTTCACCCAAAAGGGGAAGTTCTGCTTGTTTGTATCCTCCCCCCTCCACTGCCACCTTTGGCACTTTTTGGCACTTTTTGGGGGGTTTTGACATGTACCCACTTCTGAGTCAGATCACTGTAATGATCTGAGCCAGAAGTTCTACCGCCCTATTTTTCCCATCGCAGCCTGCTGGGACACATCACAGGTCCTAAAAGACTGTGGGACAATTCAAAAAGTGACTGCCGAGAAACTTCACTGTCTGTTTCCCTTACTAAACCCCTGGTTCACATCTGTGTGGGTGGTGCTGCTGCGGTACCCGTACAAATACCTGCAGCCGCACCACCCACATAGAGGAGTGCAGGATCCACAGGTGGGTACCATTAATTCTGATGGCTCGCCACCCGCACTGGAAATCACAACCATACTGGGAACCTCAGTTCCCGTGCGGACTATGATTTCCCTGGTAGTGCAGGGACTTCTTCCCTGCATGTCCCGGGGCACAGGAGTCCATTCAAATGAATGGGCTCTCTTGCCAGCGCAAATCGCAGCCCACACGACTGCACAAATGTTATCCAGGGCATATGGTGCTGGCACCTGCACCTGAAGCTAATTGAAGAAGGACAGGTAAGAGTCCTTATATTAAAAGTCAGCAGCTACAGTGTTCGTTTGTAGCTGCTGACTTTTATTTTTTTTTTGGGGGTCGGAGCCTGGAGCACCGCTTTAAGCTTTGGCAAAAAAAAACCTGGAAGCTGATTGGTTGCTATGCAGAGCTGCACCAGATTTTGCACTTTTGCTATTTTAGTACATCAACCTCATTATTCCAGAATGCACTAACTGCCCATGTGAGCAGTAAATGCTTATGATGGCAGTCTAAATGGGCAGTATCAACTGAATGGACGACTGTGCTGATTTAGGGCTGATTTGTTCTGAAAGCTGATCTCAGATAGATTAAAAAGCCATAGGTATCATTTATAAAAACTGGAGAGTGCAAAATCAGCTTTCAGGTTTTATTACCAAAGCTTCATTGAACAAGCTGAAGTTAGAAGCTGATTTGCTACCAGTAACAGCTGCACCAGATTTTGAGTGCACCAGTTTTAGTAAATCTTTCCCACGGATATTATTTACTAAAACTTGGAGAGTGCAAAATCTGGTGCAGCTCTGCATAGTAACCAATCAGCTTCCAGGTTTATTGCCAACGCTTAATTGCAAAAGGTGAATTTAGAAGCTGATTAGCTTACCATCCACAGATGCATTGGATGCTGAGTGCATCAGTTTTAATAAATCTTCCCCATAGGTTTTATCTACTAAAACTGGTGAGTGCAAAATCTGGTGCAGCTCAGCATAGAAACCAATCAGCTTCCAGTTTTTATTGCCGAAGCCTAATCGAACAAGCTGAAGCTAGAAGCTGATTGGCTACCATGGACAGCTACACCAGATTCTGAGTGCTCCTGTTTTTTCTAGTAAACCCTCCCCATGCGTTGTAGCTGTATATTCTTTAAAGAGGTAACAAACCCAAAACCAAAAATGTAATATATTGTCGTTTATCAAACATTAGATGTGGTGGCTGCATTTGTTTTCTTTTAGGCTTTTTTCTTTCTGTTTTCAGCGGGTGATCTGGCCAGCAACACACTGCCTGTATGAGGCTCCGTTACCAACAATGCATTTTTTGGTGCTTTTTTACAGACACGCAGTACAATCCATTTATCATGGTTTCATATGGAATATGTTCACAGCTATGCTTTTTTGAGCTGCTACATTTTTGGAACGGGTCACAGAGTTTTTTAAAAGCAAAAAGCAGCATTTTTGCTACAAAAAAGTTAAATGGAGAAGCTGCTGAAATGCATGGTAGTGCGTTTTTGCTGCATTTTGCATTTTTATTCTACCCAGCAACAAAAACAATTCCACTTTATAAAAAAAAAAAAATAGCTGAACAAAACTCAAAACGTGGTAAAAACACATCAAAAACATGGAAAAAAAAAGGTGTGAAGAAAAATGCAAAACAAACTGCAAAAAGCACTGGAGAAAGCATCAAACGCAAAATGCATAAATGTGAACCAAGCCTTAGAGTGCCTACACTCTATGATGAAGGAACAAATGGGCACCTTTGGACAGCAATATTGTTAATCTGGGGGAGGGGAGTGTTAGATGGACTAGCAGATTTAGATACACTAAACAAATTGAAGCCAAACTCCAACTAACACTTTTTAAGCAGTTGCAGCAATGGTTTTGTTCCTTTTGGGATAAAGGATTTGCATAAAAGAATAAAAGCTGACCATTATAAGCACCCCTGTCAGAGTTAAATGTGGCTGATGCATCTGCAGGGCAGTTTGTTCTGTAGAAAAACAACAGACTTACTGGCTGGATCACCAGGTGAAAGTAAAAGAAAGAAAATCCAAAAAATAAAACAAACGCAGCCATCACAGCTATGAACTGGTAAGCTGCAATATAATAAATATTCACTTTTGGGTTTACTACCTCTTTAAGTACATAATTAAATGTATTTTACATATCACTAGTATAAGTACCCGAATCTGCCTTGATATCAGCCTCTGTCTTCCCCTGCACAGCAAACTAGGAGAGGGAGGAGTAGAACTTAGAGCCAATAAAGTACTATGCATGCACATGTGTTGAGAGGGAACATGGTACAAATAAAGAGAGAGCAGATTTAATGACTTACCTGCACCTACTTTTTAAATAGTTGTAAAAAGGAAAGTGACACCACTGTGAAATTGGTGTCAGCCTCCTGACTTTGCTATTTGTTAGCGGTGTATGAATTACAAACATGCCTAGACAGAATGAAGAAATTCGCTTTACATATTTGCATTTTTAACTGTGTATTTAGCGGTTTGTTTGGAGTCCAGCTTTAAAGGGGATCGGTGGAGACTTTGCATACCGTTTGACTAAATATATATATACTAATAATATGCAAAGGCTGCATACTAATTCACATCGTTTTTTATGCCTTTTGCATTTTCTTCATCAAACTGTTACATCACATAAAACTTCATTAAACAAGTACAACAGAGGTTTACATGGAACCAGAAGAGATTACACAACATTAATCTGCAGGATGACAGAGGTAATCCCTTTTTAACCACGCTGCATGGAGCGATAAATGGGAAGAAGAACAATAAAGTATACCAGGGTTTTTTTACTTGCAAAAAGAAAAAAGAAAAAAAAAAATGGAC